TGAGATGCCTAACACAAAAGTGGCCACGTTTTAACGGCCTCGTAGATGCCGCACAATACACAATTTAGCACAAATGTTGGGAACTTACATCAGACGGCTGAGCGTCTGGGGCTCTGACTCGGGCGGTAATCGAAAAGGATTCTTTTCAGTAAACGTACTGAAGCCAGCTACTTACGCAATTGGACTTGGCGGAATTTTGTTCCATCCCCCATTCCTCGCCACAACACCACATTAGCTAGTTTCAGAAGGTCTTATATTTTCAGACGTACCTCTCTGAGGCATCCTTGCTGACTATCCGTAGTCCACTCAGCTCTAACCAGAGTTTGGCAGGCCACGCATGAGTACCCATATTCCAAAAAACAGTAGCACGGGCACCAAGTTATGAAGAAGAGGAGCTAGAGGCGTTCTACAGGGCTTGGAGAAGCATTTTGAAGAGGACTACCTTTAAAGTCACCGTCAGTGATTTCTACACCAAGATTGATTGCAGAAGGACAACTGAAGAGCTAATTTGGGACAGGGACAGTTCCATGCCCCTGACGAGAGTCGGAGACTCTCCGAAAGCAGGGTATGCATGCAGTCATTCAATGCACTGTGGAAAGAGCGAATTGTATTTTCCATATACCCACTTGCAGATGGGAATCGAAGCTTCGCCAACGAACGAGTACCGGGGATGCCCTTGCTTACGCCAAGTGACCGAAGATCAAATGGGTTCAACATGTTACACGAGGTTGTGATGACGGTGGACCAGGGCGGCTACTTACGGAATCCCTTGGGAGGTTACTAGCATTGGGATACACCAATGCAGTGGTCGGACTGCTTATAAAAAGCTCTGAACGGAAGAGGCTAAGCCTCGTGTTCCTCGAGCGAGTACGATCCAGTGGACTACTTCGACTCGCGACTTGAACGCCGACGATACTGGCACCAGCTCGAGAAAGCCGATGATCAATGGAACTACAGGGCATACAGGAGAAAAATCGATGGTCCTGCGGATTTTCCCGCTTGTTTCGCCATCGATTCACTACTCTAGACTAACACGTCCGTTATACTTCTTTAAATGAGTACCTAAAGGTTGTCGTGTATACTTTTCCTTTATCCGTCATCTCTGACTAGCCCTGAACTTGAGAGAAAAACTCGCTGGTGCAGTGTAAACGCAGTACAGGCATGAGGATGTGACACGAGCGCCAAGCAGGAGTTCATGACAAGGTAATCTCGTTGCTTAATGTTAGCTAGCAGCAGACTTCCCTTGATCGCCAATAGAGGAAGTCCAATTTACGGCGGGCAAACAACTAAGGCCTCAGTTTCACTGATGCCCACAAATGTTAGCTCCATGCTTTTGTTTCAACATACACATAAAAGCTGAGGTCTGACAAAACGAGTGAGGATCTCAGCGAAGCATTGCTTTCGAATCAGGATTGAGAAAGGGGACACAGCTAGCAATACATTAGGTTGATGCATAATTATTGCGGGTTTTTTTCAGCAAATTGTACTTCAAAATAGATAGAAATATTAAGCAAAGACATGTTCAAATAATTACTCCAGAACGCATCCCTCATCCACGGCAAGCACTGCTTCCCATTTACTAATCAGTCGAATTCCATAGGCGAATAAGTTTTGATTCCTGAGGGCGATCCACGCCTTGACGTCGGCCATCAAGTCATCCATTTCGTCGAAAGTTCTGTTCGCTAGCCAATTATCTACGGACGGTTAACGTGATAATCCAGATTAGTTTCTGTTTGTGGATAAGGCGAACGTAGGAGCATACTCCATTCCTTATTCGGCTTTGACTGACTATTCCATCGCCGAGAAGTTCGTTGAGATCACGTTATGACTGCGCCACCTCCCAAGTTTTCCCGAAGTAATAGGGCATGATGTGGCTCATATGAAATCTCTTTCAACCATATTTCTTGTAAGGAGAGGAGGAAAATTATTTTCACTGAGTCCGAATTTAATATTCAATGTATCAAGAGAAAAGAAGCCACGAAAAAACCTTCAATAATCATGCATCAACCTATTAAATGAAGATTATATCAGTATCTCAGTTGTTCTATACGAAAGTTTTGTTTCTTGAATTACAAACACAACTAATGGATTCCAGGCAACAATCACCTGGCAGCAGAAAGCGAAGTGTAGTTGCTTACCGTGAAGCTTGTTTCCAAGTAGTCATCGTACATAAGCTGAACCCTTGTCATTGAAGATTTGTCGTAATCGGCTAGTTCAGAGGATGATAGGAAGCCGTCGTCTGAATGGGAGAATATTCGTAGTCAAATACATGCATACACGACTATTTCATCTATTTTTCGTGGTCAGAAAGCATCACTTTGAATCTTCTTCAATAACAGTAACCTACTATTCGTGTCGATGTCCGTGAAGCATTTCCAAGCAGCCTGATTGCTGCACTTTTCCGTAGCCACGAATTGCGCAAAATTGAGACCTCGTGGATCAGAAGTAGTATCTGCTAGTCCGAAGAAGTTGTTAAGATTGCTACTCAGGTACCGGAGAAGGTCGAGGTTCACTGCAGGGAGCGACGTCTCAATTTCAGAGATGTCATTGCGGTCGACGTAGACTGGCAAAGCAGCTGTTGTTACCAAAATTACCAAAACGACAACGAACATTGCTGTCGGAAACATTCTGCAATCATGAAGCTTTGGATGTACAAGTATAGTTAGTGAACACCGATACGGAGCTGTGAACATTAGGAAAAGGCATTCGAGGCGGTGTATGCGAGGAACCCAGCATGAGGAAATCCCCCAATTGTGGATTCCTTCTCTTTTAGGATGTCGAGTGGCCGGTTTTTTTCCCTCTTCACCTCTACACTCGTCGCATACATTTGAGAGTTTTTCGCTTTTAGTGTGTACGCGCATGACATATCTCATTCCCTTTTCTTTGCTTCTTCAACCCCTGATATCCAACTGTCTCCCGGTACACAATGCGTACTTTTCCAAACCGGCCGCTGATCTGAGGAGGCCTATCGAAGTTTGTGTCTAGCAATCAGCCTAGAAGCCCCTTCGAAGCGATTCTATGCGCGCCTAGTTCCAAAGGATGCCATAAAGTCAGCAGTTTTGTGATTTATCAGGACTCCACAGTATTATTGTGAGAACTTTCCCAATTTTCAGGAAAAATTCGGACTTTTATGGAGTTTTTGGAGATGTTTTCTGAGCTTCCTAGATAGTAGCCAAGTTGGCGGTCACGAGGCATTCGAAGGAATCGCTTGCTTCGGCAGCAAAAGAAGGCGGGAAAGGTCGTAATAAGAATAAATAAGAAGAAAACAGATGGAAAGGAAAAAAAACGCATCATCGGGCTCGCAATCCGTATGGTGAGAATAATGGAGCACAGAAATTAATAATATTGACTGATTGAAACCTGCAGTATTCTTGAATGTAATGTGGTACCAACATACATGAGTTCTCCTTGTGGGCAATATTTTGAGTTTCATACATAAAATGAGTAGTGAAAACGAAAGGCTTACTTTGGGCATCTTGGCGATATCTGGATGTTACAGCTAAAGTATGCAACGTTATAGCCACTGATGTTTGCAGAGAACGCAGTACTTATTGCCCGAAGCTCAGCAGCGAAGCCTTTTGAGGGTGGAATTCGAATTCGTTTATCGCAGTAGCAAAGAAATTCGCGATCATGTGTGACGAAACTAGAAAAAACATAAGATCGAAACATGCAACATTCATGCGGGACTAAATCTTCAATTGCAAGCTCCACTACCCACACCCTGGTATCATGGAAAGTTTCCTCGAGTCACAGTTTGCCCTCGGCACGACTTTCGCCTTAGCCAACCAAACGTTCTATCCTTCTAGGGTCGGTTAATTGGTACCAGACTCGTTAACAACACTAGCTTATACATCGGCTGGCCACCGCATTCTTTAGGCCACACGCGCGTTTTTGAATGAAGTGAAAGATAAAGGATAAAGTCTTCGGGCGTTGATCAATCTCGTCTGCGGGGCGCATCCCTCAGACGGGATTGATCAACGCTCAAAGACATTATCCTTTATCCTTCGCTATTCGAGGCTGTGGCGAGGTAGACATTTTCGCTTTTCGAATCGCCCCAAATTTTGCGGCATTAGTGGGTGTTTGGTAAATAGATTATAGTTCTTGTGCAGACCTTATGCTCACTGCGGCTTTCATAGCTGTCAAGTCGTAGGGTCGTGGAGAAGCCAAAAGAATTTCTGCAACTTGTATTATCTTTGTTTATTTGGTTTATTTCAAGAAACACTTCTTGAATGGACCATCAGAGGCTTTAACACAGTTGTTGCAATGTGCTTCAAAATGGAAACTTTCTATTAAGTATTAGTATTAAGTGGTGCTTTGGGAATGAGAGACATAAAGGATTGATATAATCTATTCATTTTTTTTGGAGACGAATATTTAAAGCGAAAGAGTGGGTTCTGAGACAAGAGGATGCGAACGGTGGAATGCAAGCAGGCACTCGTGGGAGGTGTGTTTGCATTCACTTGCCAACGAGCACCACAAATCACATCATCATAGATTATTATCGTCTGAACGAATACGATCAATTTGAAAGATCAAGTCGCTTTGTATTTGCCAGTACTCTTTTGCCCATTGTCAAGATGAACTCTGTGGAAGTGTGGAACTGTCATGATACTAAACCAGTCACTGAGCTAACGCAGGACCCTCCCATTTCGTATAATATTGACCCCTCACTCACGTCTCTTACGAATTTGGACGCTTCGATACAGGAGAACAGTAAGTGTGAAATCCTGGTCATGCCCACACACAAACACACACATACACACATACACTTACACATGCACACATACATACACACACAAACAAACGCACACAAACACAAACACAAACACACACAAACATACACAGACAAACAAACAGACAACTTAGCGCGTTATATGTAGGATTATTCGCCAAAGCGCATTGTAGGGCCTCCTCCGAACTGCTATCCAATCACACCCAGACTGAGCTTACGAAAACAGCTTTCATTCCGGTTTTAGACGTTTCTATACCATCGAAAATAATGTTGGTTATACAGTAGGACTAAAAAATGGCTCTCTTACTTAACCGATGCGAACGTTGCCCAAAACGTGGCCGTCCAGCGCAGCGTCTTATATCCGTTGCACCAAGGCACCGAAGTGTGTTTCAGGTGCACCTAGCCAGTCGAAGAATCTATTGATTCTCTATTTGATAGGTTCTGACAACTTTTTTCTGCAAAAACGCCAGTCACCGAACGTGGCTACCAGACACCATTGTCGCTCTCACAATTAAATATTTGAAGGTCGATATATGCAACACCGTTGATTTCAACGGAGCCCTGCTCATTTGGCTCCGCGGTGATATATTTTGACTTTTAACCTAGGTGCAAGCAAGTGATCGGACCATAGCTTGCCTCCATTGGTCGAGCGCATTCTTTTCGTCGTACTCAAGAACTACGGAGTAAGTATGGAAAAGGTGGTGGGTCCGCTATATCCCGAACATTTCCTGGAGTGGCATCCACGATGACTGGAAAAAGCTCTTACAATTAGCGTTGTATACACGGACGAACACGGACTTTCCCAAAGAAGCGCAGGCCAGCGTTTACCCTCTGCAATTACATTCGTGCAACAGCAAAGCACCCACTCAATAAGCTCTTCTTGGCTAGAGGTTGATGGTTAGGGGTAACAATGATTCCTACGGATGCCAACTCGGCTGTAATTTTTTCTGTGCAGCAAATTTTTTAAGGACCATTTTACCGCCTTTCAGTACGAAGAACATTTTCAGTGGATCGCTGCCAAATGCCAGAAGAGACGCTCTCTTCAAGATACCTTTGTTGTTCCCTGGATGAGAGTGTTCGTTCTCTGACAAAGGATGACTAGAGTGATTACTACTGTCGATATGTTGTCAAAGTAGCCCTACCATTGCCTCACTGATCTCTTGCAATCTATTCGAAGACGGTAGTTCTTTTTAAAAACATAAAAGAAAAAATCCTCGACCTCGGTTCAGCGGTAGCTATGCTCAAAACGTTAAAGAGACTGATCACTGTTCCCAAGAGTGTGGGATTTGTTGAGCTAGGGTTTTGGCCCCGTCGTCTTCGTCAGAGCCTGGCAGTCGAAAAATCATTTGATTTGCAGTGGAAACTCATAAGCAGCTCTGCGTATCACTCTATCGAGTGCAACTGTATGAAAAGAAAAATATAACTTTGAAGAGAAAAAACTGCATTGAATGGAGCTCAAGTAAATAACACCAGTAATAAAGATAGATTGTGAGGAAGACCTCTGTATACTCAATATACCAATATTTTCAAAATAAAAGACTCCAGCTGAGAAAACAACCAACATCAAGCAATTTAATTCTGTAAGTTGTTACCACTTACAACTTGCATGTGAAAAGAAACCACAATAAAACCGCTTTTGAGCTCATCTTTGAATGTGGCTTCGTGTGAAGGGCGGAACTGCGGTGGAGCTGTGCACGAGATGTACCATAACATCATGCCTACCGCCATGGAAAAGACAGAACCCTATAAAAGACAAGTAAAAATTGATCAACTATGCACGTTTACAAAAAGATTGCGTTTATTAGGATCGGAAAATTCTGAAGTTATTCTTATTTTGAACATTTGACAAGTAATTTTAAGAGTATAGAGTGAATCCTTGAGATCTTATAGTGATGGTAGAGAGATTTGCACTAGCTCATACTAATTCATAGTAAAACCATGGACTGATGCAAATCTATCTCTTTTGCTCAACCTCAGCTGAAGGGTGTGTAGCGACCGCATCAAAACTCATACGTAATTTGCCCCGCGGTGCATCGCGTGCTGCCAGCCCGAAGAGCTCTAATGGGGTTACGCGCGAATCGCACGTTCCCCTCACGGCGACGAAAGGAAAGTCTACTCGCTGGCAGCGCAGACGGGACAGATGCCATCAGTCACTCTACGCGACTACGTAAAACAGCTATATAACCAGTTGTTTATTGGCAATAGGGCCTCACTCGTCTGTTTCGCCTACCACAACACTCATGTGCAGAACCCATCACATCGGCTGTAGCCAGCCTGTCCTGTGCCCATCCCCTATTAATAGTATGTAATAGTACATAAGTAATAAGGTCTCTATATAAATATCTGTGAATGCTCACAGAAGAACTGTCACTGCAACATGTACGCCTCGCTAACCTTTGATCTGATAAGTCCGAATGCCGAATTTGTTTTGAAGGTGCACGCCACTACGGCCCGCTGAACGTCAATCTAGTTGTAACGTTTAACTGTGTTTTATTTACACAATACATCGCATTGGTCGATGCGCAAAGAAGTCGACCGTGTGTTTAGCTCGACTATGCATTCAATTCGTAATGGCTTATAAGGTCTTCGACAAAGAAACGAGAACTCATCTCATGAACCGCCTTTTCACAGTACCTTATAGTGAAATGAGCATAGTAGCGATTTAATAATCGGTCGAATCGCGAACATTGATCAGCCACACCGCGTGACTTGCTCGTCTCGCTATGCACGGTGACGATATAGAAATCCCATATGTTCGGAGCCGATGGTCAACGCTTGTTGCCTGACGCTCTTCGCCCATCGGCTGAAGCAAGGTATAAAGGTCCCTTAGGCTTTTCCAATGCGCGAGGCCATTTCCTAGAAACGATTTTAATTTTTTAAAGACGCATGAAAGGA